GTGGAAAGACTTCATGCCCAACAGGGAGCCATTTTCCTCTCCAAAGAAAGTTGGGTTTTAGTTTATTAGCTTCGGGGAAAGAAGTGGAAAACATTTCTCCCTCTCAGGTAATGGCACTAAATCCTACTTTCGATATGTTTGAACAGCTCTCAGACTGGAATAATGTGTATTTTTGAGTGGAGTGGTACACACACCACGGATCTGGGAGGCGCAGGCCTGCCTGGTGCGGCGGGGTGAGCAGTGCCTCTTGGTCTGGGCCCCACGCTGGGGCTCAGCTTTCCACGGCTGTGTGCAAAACGTGCAGAGAGCCACTGGAAAAATTGATTCTGACAACTCTCTTCAGTTAAGCCTCTTCTTGTTGGAGAGGAGCACTTCGGATACACATTTATATTTTTAAAACATTCTGTTGCTTTGTCTTTTCTCAAATCATGTGTTTCTCACTTTTCATGAAAGGGAATCAGTCCATGAAGACTTTGAAATAGTTCAAGCAACAGACCAAAGGGAAGTTTAATTTAATAGGAGCAATTCATTGCCTTAATATTTTTTACCAAGAAGATGAAAACAGGGTGACTTATTTATGGATTTATTTACACGGTGGAGGTTATTGCTTGCACAGAGGATGGAGCTTTTGAAACCTTCTGGTGATATGAAAAACATGGGACGTGTCTTTGAGTTAATAGTTGATTAGGGCAGTAAATTGTATTTTAGGAAACAAGAGACTGAAATATGTTGTATTTTATACAGAGAGATCTAAGATTATAAAAGAATCCTAATAAGAATGCCGGTGGTACAGTTTATTTCCACTGTAATGTGGAGGGCACATTTCCCCAGCAGAAGTGAGATGGGGCTACCTATCTCCCAGTCCACCCTTCTTGAGAAAAGGCCTATCATTGTTGTGAATGGAAAGCCTACCAGGTATTCCCAAACAGGAAATATTCCATTATAGAGAGATGTGTCCACAGTTAAATCAAACAAACATAAAAAGGTGCTAAAATACAGCAACAAGAAAGTATTATTTTGCTTACTTTTGCCATTATGAATTTTTGAGGAAGCATACCTACCATTCGTTGAACATCTGCGACATGCCAAGCACTGTGCTAGGTACTTTAGTTATTATCTTAATCCTCAAAATAACCTTATAAGGTGGATATTAATAATCCCATTTTACAGAGGAGGATTAAGGCTCAAAGATCAAATAAATGATAGAAAGTCATCGAAGATCACTCTATGTGTATAGAGAGCTACACCAAAGCTCAGCTCTGGTTTCAAAACCCTTTCTGTTACACCAAAAGAACCTGTTGGGTGTACCAAAGGAATTCTGTTCCATTTCTTTTCTGTTGCACCAAGAGTCTGCTGACTCTTTTGTTGTTCTGAGATTTTGATTTTGAAAACAGTCAAAATGTCTGAAGAAAAAAGAAATATATATATGTGTATATATATATATATATCTCTTCATATTTTCCCACTATTTGCCATTTCTGGGACTCTTCATTTCTTTCTGTATTTCTGAATTACTATCTCTTGTAATTTTCCTTTAGACTGAAGATCTTCCTTTAATATTTCTTGTGAGGCAGGTATGCTAGCAATAACTTCTCTCAGTTTTTGTTTAACTGGAAATGGCTTTAATTTCACCTTCTCTTTTGAAAGATAGTTTCACTGGAGGTAGAATACCAGGTTGACAGTCCCCCTCCCCAACCCCTTTCCGCACTGGGTCTTGTTCTTCTCTTCCTCCTCCTCCTTTTTTTTTTTTTTAAAGACTTAATTTTTTTTTTAGAGTAGCTTTAAGATCACAACAAATCTGAGGGGTGCCTGGGTGGCGCAGCTGGCTAAGCATCTAACTCTTGGTTTCTGCTTAGGTCATGATGTCAGGGTCATGAGATCGAACACTGTAGTGGGCTCTGTGCTCAGCATGGAGTCTGCTTGAGATTTTCTCTCCCTCTCCTTCTGTCCCTCCCACTTGTGCTCTATCTCTCCCAAATAAGTAAATAAATCTTAAAAAAAAAATTATAGCAAATTTGAGAGGAAGGGACAGAGATATCCTGTATACCACCTTCTCCTACACATTCATAGCTTCCCCATTAACATCATCCACCAGAATGGTACATTTCTTACAACTGATGAACCTACATTGACACATTATTACCTAGAGTTCATAGTTTACCTTGGGGTTCACTTTTGGTGATGTACATCCTATGAGTTTGGGTAAATGTATAATGACATGTATCCACCATTATAGTATCATAGAGTATTTTTGATGCCCTAAAAATCCTCTGTGCTCCACCTGTTTACCCCTTCCCTCAACACCTGGCAGCTACTGATCTTGTTACTGTCTCCATAGTTTTGCCCTTTTCCAGAATGTCATGTAGTTGGAATCATACAATATGTAGACTTTTCAGATTGGCTTCTTTCGCTTAGTAATACGTGTGTCTTTTCATGGATTGATAGCTCATTTCTTTTTAGCACTGGATAATATTCTATTGTCTGGCTATATCCAAGGCACCTACTGAAGAACACTGTGGTCTCCTTTTGATGGGAAGTCAGATCTCATTCTTTTTGTTATTCTTTTGTATGTAATGCTTTTTTTTTTCTCACTCTGCTTTCAAAGTTTTCTCTTTATCTTTGGTTTTCAACAGTGGTACCTTGTGGCCTCAGAGATTATATAGAAATGCTCCAAGACTGGAAAGAGAAACAGGTGTCCCCAGGTGGGCAGTTTTAAGAGTAGGCATTTCCTTAAGAGGCAGCTGTATGAGGAAAAGCATGGAGGAGAAAACTACCCGGGTCCAGTAAGCAGCAAGGTGCAGAGGAGAGTGCATTGAGGGTGAAGGCTGGAGAGGAAGGCATAAACCAGCACAGGCTCTAGACAGCATGCTTATAATTTCGGACTGCACAGTGTAACCAGTGGGGGACCACTCATGGGCTTGAAGGAGAGGAGTAGTAGAATCAGATATGTTTTTTAAAGAGATCCCTCCAGCAGCAATGTGGTAGATTCATTTGGGAAGTCATTCTCGAGGAAGGAATGTGTTGCAATCATACTCAGTAGCGGTGCAAACGGTGAAAGAATGACTAGTTCTAGGAATATGAGGACACTAAGCATTAGTCACTGAATGGCTATGGGGGGTGAGGAAGGTACTTTAGTTATTATCTTAATTATCTTAATTGGAGGTGAGGAAGAGGAAAATGACCCGGATGACTCCTGGCTTCCTAACTCCAAACTTGGAAGAAGCTGTCCAAAGGGGCAGAGGTGGGTGAGGGATGATGAGTTTGGGGAAATGAGCTTTTCCCATGGGACATTCTAGTGGCGATGTCCAGTACGTAGTGAGCTATATGACTCTAGAGCTCAGTGGAGAAATCCTAGATGGAAATTTAGTTTTGAAGCTTGCACAAGGTGGAAATTGAAGGCAAGGGAGTGGACGAGATTGCTAAGAGACAGTGTGCAGAGGGTGAAAAGCAATACATTAAGGTCACGAAACACCAATTAGTCTAAATGTAAGTCATATTTGGGGTAACAGGAATCTGCTTAACCGACTGAGCCACCCAGGCGCCCCCTGCCTCTCTCCCTTTTAAGGATGCTTGTGGTTACATTGGGCCCACCTGGTTAATCCAGGATAATCTCATCTCAAGATTTTTAACTGCATCTGCAAAATCCCCTTTGCTTTGTAAGGTAACATGTTAATAAGGTTCCAGGAAATGGAACACAGATATCTTTGAAGGGAGAATTACTATGCCTATTACAGGTGGATAATAACGGCTACTCACTGTTCTTATGAAGGTTCAGTGATGTAATCATATAAGGCAATTGGCACATAGGAGGTCCCATGTTCTTTCATTCAATACGTTTTATTACAGGCGATAAGACAGACACTAAGCAAAGAGCTTGCCCTTCAAGAAGCTCACATTCTTGATGCATGTGTCAGAAAATAAACAAGTAGAAAATATAGGAATAAGATAGGAGGTAAGAAGGTCTATGGGGAAAAGGCTGGGGCAGGGTGCTTTTATAAAGGGTGGTCAAGAAGGGCCTCACTGATAAACGTGAGCACAGACCCAAGCAAGTGAAAGAGTGAGGGTCGAAGGTACCTGTAGGCTTGGAGTGTTCAAAGAATGAGGTGGGTGTGGAGTGGAAGGAAGCAAGCCAGTGGGTGTGCAGGCCTTAGAGGGTAGTTTGGCTTTTTTTTTTTTTTTTAAAGATTTTATTTATTTATTTGAGAGAGAGAGAGAGCACGCGTGAGCAAGCATGAGCAGGGGGGGTGGGGCGGAGGGAGAGAGGGAAGCAGACTCCCCACTGAGGAGGGAGCCTGATGCGAGACTCAATCCCAGGACCCTGGGATCATGACCTGAGCTGAAGGCAGACCCTTAACCAACTGAGCCTGGTGGTTTGGCTTTTACACTGAAATGGGAAGCCATGAGGAAGCCACCTCTTCTGAGGAAGGAGTGACAGGAATTAAAGTAGGATTGTAAAAAGATATATAGTTAACATATACCATTTGATAAGCTCCGGGATAAGCACATACTCATAAAACCGTCACCGCTACCAAAGCCATAAACATATCCATCACCCCTCAAAGTTTCCTCCTGTCCCCTTTATTATTCTTTGTGTGTGGTAAGAACAATTAACAGAAGATCTACTCTCTGAGCAAAATTTAAGTGTATAATAACAGTGTTGTTAGCTATGGGTGCTGTAGCTTATTTTATTTTAACCATTCTGCCGGGTGGAGGATATAGAGGACAGAGGGGGAAGCAAGGAGAACCTTTAGGAGACTATTATAATCATCTAAGGTGAGAAATAATAGTGGCTTGGATCACTAGGATAGCAGTGGGGGTGCTAAGAAATGATTAGAGTGGGTACATTTTAAAGATATCACCAACAGGATTTACTGATGGGGTGGGATGTGAAATGTGACAGAGGAGGCAAGAGGGACTGCACCCCAATGTATTCTGAAAAAATGAAATTGGCGTGTGCTCAAGCAGGGGTGTGCGTGGAGGAGTAGATTGGGAGGGAAACTTGGGAGACTGTTTTGGTCACGTTGAGCTTGCTAAGCCTATCAGATCTCCACAGGGAGATCTGGCAGGTTGCGTCGGAGTCCAGTAGGGAGATGTGGCAGGAGATACGAGATACAGCGAGGGGAGAGCCTTGAGAGGTATTCATTCACCACAGGGGGCTCCAATTAGGGATGAAGAGCGTGCACTGAACCCAGCAAAGCACACGGAGAAGGAGCCCTCAGCGAGGAGAGAGGAGGAAGAAAGTGAGGTTCTGGAAGCTGAGTGAAGAAAGGTTCAAGGAAAGAGGGATGGGGTCAGATACTGATAAATATTATCACAACTCACCACACTGTATCCTACCCGTTTAGGGGAAGTCTTCTCTTTCTAGAAATCTCTGAAATTAGTTTGAGGAATCTAATGGCACCTGTGTTACCCACTGAAGTTCTGCTGCAGGGCGCAGGGCGGCGGGCCGTTGGCCAGGGCGCCGGAAGGAAGGCCCGGAGAGGAACCGGAAGTGCAGCCTCGCAGACAGTTTTGTCACTGGCCCTGTAAATGCCCTCGTCAGAAGCCCAGCTGTCCTCCTGGAGTGAGCTTGCTGAGGGACGGCTGCGGGTGCTGTAAGATCTGTGCCAAACAGCCGGGGGACATCTGCAATGAAGCCGACCTCTGTGACCCCCACAAAGGGCTGTACTGTGACTACTCGGCCGACAGGCCTCGGTTCGAGACCGGAGTGTGCGCGCGTAAGTGTCTCCTGCTGGGACCGCGGGAGATGCTCGAGTCTGGGCGCCAGTTCTCCCCCTGTCGTTGTCCCTGTGGAATGATCAGCGGAGTTAGGCCACATGTGAGGTGGGTTTCGTTTTCACACACCGGCGGGACCGGCTTTGTCACAGTGGACAGCATGGGACACTGGCAGATGTTTACACGTGGTCAGAACCCCCTGTTATTGATACTGCATTGAAGTGATCTTGTAGTCATTCTTAGGTGATTGCTTTTAGGGAGAAAAATAGCAAAGATTATGTAAATCGAGTCTGACTTCTTCCAGCGCCACACAGTGACAGCTTTTGATACTGCGGTCGAACGCAGTCTGAATTCAGCCTTCTCTGTAACTAAAAACGAATCTCGCTTCAGATGTAAGGATGTGTATATGGTATGCAGACATCCTGCTTCCACCTCAGCCTTTCCAGATAACCGGCAAGTCACTGTGCTTTTTAACTGAAGCAGATGCGTAAAAAAGAAGTTTGTGTGTGGGGGGGAGGGGATACTCCAAATCACAGCCTGACCCTCACTTTGAGGGGTTTTTAGCTCTGGAGACACTTTGAGACCCTCTAAATCTACACCTCGACGCCAATTCAGGATCTTGATTTACCTGGGATTAAAATGAGAATTTCCAAGGGAAGAGAAATACGCATGTCAGCTGGACATTTTAGTCGGTCTGTAGGAAAGACTGCGTGGGCAGGCAAAGTACTCCCGGAAGTGTGGGTGTGAGCGTGGACCGAATGTGTAGAGCTGTTCAGGTGTGATAGCCTGATACCTTGTTTAGTGCTGACTAAACTATATTGATTAAGAACGTAGGCGCTGGGTTCCAATTCTGGGCTTTATATGCTGAGTGACCTTGAGGTCAAGTTGCTTAACCTCTCTGTGCCTCAGCTAGGTATTATATACTTCCTACCTTACAGAAATGCCAGGAGGAGCAAATGAAATAAGGATACAAAACCCCAAACACTTAGCAGAATATCTGGTTGGCAGTAGACTCCTAAAAATGTTAGCTATTATTTATGAAAATTTAACAGGGAAAACATGTCCTATCAGACTGTGGCATGGCAATACCTCTTTCTCCCACACGGTGCTGGGCACGTCATTTCATTAACCTAACAAGCACACGTGAGCCTACCACGCCAGGCACTGGGACCAGCAGCTGGGGAGAAAACAAAGAAAAAAAAAATATATATAGGCCCTGCCCTCACAGAGTCAAAGTTTATTGTGTCAGATCTTTCCACATGTGACCTCACGTACAATGTGGTGAGTATTTTAACAGAGTGTAGCCATGAGAATGGGGGTGGAGATGACCTCTAACTGGGGTCACAAACTGTGGTCCAGGGGCCATATTTGGGCCCAGAGCCTGTTTTGGAAATAACATTTTGTTGGAGCACAGCCACACCATCCAGTTACATGGTCTATGGCTGCTTTGGGGTCCAGAGCCCAGGAGCTGTGACGAAACCCCAGTGGTCTATAAATGCTAAGATATTTACTGTTTGGCTCTTTACAGAACATTTTCTGACCTGTGATATAGAACAATGATTTTTAAACTTTGGTCTGAGGACCCCTTTAGTCTTAGAAATTAATGAAGACCCCAAGAGCTTTTGTTTATGTGGGTTTTCTCTATTGGTATTTAAGTGGATTAGAAATTTAAAAATACTAATTCATTTAAAAACAGGAAACTCATTGCAGCTTGGTGGGAATATATTTATGAAAAAATATTTTCTAAAACAAAGGAAAAATTAGAAGAATGGAATAGGTTTATATTTTTGTACCTCTCTCTAATGTCCAGCTTAACAGAAGATAGATTTCCCCATCTGCTTCTGCTTTCAATCTATTCCTGTATGTTATTTTGGTTGAAATCTATGAAGGGAATGCAGCCTGGCACAAATAGGTCATTGGAAAAGGCAGGAGTATTTTAACAGAATTTTCAGATAATTGCAAATATTCTTTTTGATATTAAAACTTGAGAAGTGGTAATTTCTTGAAAATCAGCTGCATGATGGAATCTGCAACTGTATCAATGAACTTGTCAAACTCTGTGACAATAAAATGGTCTATCCAAGACCTACTTGGAATGGGTCTTTTACTCATACATAATTTTGTAATACCTTGCATTGGTTATTTGGAAAATGCTAGTTTGGAACAATGGTTATGTAGATGTTCCAAATATTGATATACTTAATTATATATTTTTAAAAATCACATTAATTAATACTAATCTCATCAGAAAAGTCTGCATATTGGGTAGCTATAAAGAGCTCGGTGGTGGATACAGGTTTTCCAAAATTATAATTCTTACTTGAAAGCCTGAATTCTGTCATTGGCCAGAAAGTTGTTTTCCTTGAAGTGACAGGCTCACTGTTGATTTTCAAGGAAACGTCTGCCAAATGCCTGAGTAATCATGGCTTCTCTGTCAGTCATTTCTTTAGGTGAAATTCCTCCTAAAAAAGTGGCTGGTTCAGCCCAAAACTCAAACAATAGAATAGGTGCTTCTCCTCAAGATGATAGAATATCTATAGAAATGCTCTATGAATACTTCCTATTTTGTCACACAGGATATTAAAAAGACATATATTTGATGGTTAAGATCTAATAAAGTTAGTAATTCTTACTGTGCTCTCAGGACATTATTAAGTAAAACTAGCTTTTTTTTTCCCCAAGAGTACATTTATGGACAAGTGCAGTGGCAAGGCAGAAATATAGTGACTGCCCTGTATGGTCTGCTTCATGCTAAGGTTCCAGCAGCGGCTCTAGCCACCATTGCTTTTGTACCTTCAGTGCAAATATCAACACAGTGAAAACAGCCAGCCACCTCTTAGTATTCTGAAAAAGAGTTGTGACCTTGCAGATGCTCTTGAAAGGGCCTCAGTATTGCCAGGAGACCCAAGGGGTCACACTTTTGAAACCTGTTGATCCAGGTCAAGAATGCCTCTCAGAGGAGTGAAAATTTCCTCCAATTCTCTTAATGGAAGAAAAAAATTAGTTACCGTGCAGCACTGTAATTAAACCAGTTATGATTTCTTCAGCCATTCTGGTAGCCTCATTTCCTATGAATATATCCCTGCCTGTTGTTGGACATCTGGGGAAACCTCTTACCTGCCACCAACCCATCTCTCAGACTTAGAATCATTATCTCACTGCTATCCTCACAGTGATAGAACAGGGCCTGTATTTGGTCTTAATTCTGAAAGTGACCAATTGGGGCCAATAGCCTACAATAAAATGAAAATGTCTAATTTTCACCTTTTATAGATGTTCTGAAAAGGCGGTTCCAGATGGGGCCTAAGAAGTTGAGAACGCTACCTCATGAAGGAGATAGCTATTACCTCTGTGGTTTATCATGGGAGGTCTGGACTATCAGTTATGGCTTCTTTGGTGATTTTGCTCTTTTCTCTTTTCAGACCTTATAGCTGTGGGATGCGAGTTCAACAGGGTACATTATCATAATGGCCAAGTCTTTCAGCCCAACCCCCTGTTTAGCTGCCTCTGTGTGAGTGGGGCCATTGGATGCACACCTCTGTTCATACCAAAGCTGGCTGACAGTCACTGCTCTGGGGCTAAAGGTAGAAAGAAGTCTAATCAATCCAACTGTGGCCTGGGACCATTCCAACAGCAGCTTTCAGCAACCTACAAAACAATGCCAGGTGCTTAGAGGCATATTTAATTTTCATGTATTGCTTCTCGTGATTTTCTTTCATGTTCCTTTGATGTATCACAGGTACTCAGTAAGCACTTATTGATTAGTGGTCAATGTGAGATTTAGTTTGGCTGCCTCAGGGAGGTATATTCTAAGTATCTCAAAAGGAAACTTTGTAATGTTTTAGATTTTTCCAGTAAGACATTCCAGGGTTTAAAAGCTCTGCTGGGTCAGAAAAACTCTTCTATGCCTCTGCTCATTCCCACTCAACCTCTTCTCAGGAAAGTTGACCAACTATTTATTGTTCATGTGCACCCTGGGAAAAACTTTTACTTGTTTTGTTATATTACGGGCAAGAAGTGCGAACGATCCAGTCCCCAAAATTTTCAAAGGCAACTTTGCTATATGATGGAAGCCTACTGATTAAAAATATTTAAGAATATGTTTAGAATTTGTAAATATTGTTTCTAAAAACAGAAAACTGCTGACATAAGATTATCCTCTGGGAATGAAGCTCTCCAGTCACCAACCGCTCTCTAAATCAACACACGTACAGGTGTTTTAAAGTAGGTTCCCCAGGTATGAGAGTAGTCAGAAACCTATAATGAGACTCATCACTCATCTTGAGCACTGGCCATTTGCGGTGAGTGTCCATATGTGCATAAAGGCTGTACTCTGATCAGCTCTAAGTTAATATCTTATTTAAGTGCCAGGGCATTTTGGGGACAGGAGTTTCAAAAACACCAACCAATGAAGCACAGATGAGGAAGACTCAGAAGGGTCAGTATTCATGCCTGGTTATTATTCACACCTCTGTGTTTTCAACCAGAAATCAAGAATGCCTTTTTAACGAAATTTAGAGCTTAGGAAATGAAAGGTGCCATGGAGATACAGAAGGGATATTCATCTACACTAAAAACTCCCAAGTTTGTGTCTAATATGTGGATGTTTAATAAAAGCACTTATCATCAGAGAAATGAGTTTTAGATATCTAAAAACTAACTCTATGAAAGGAACATTCTCAGAGACTTCCATTAAGCCAATTAATTTGAAAATAATTTAACAGGGTGTGGTGAATTTGCATTTACCATACTTAGTTTCTCAGCTAATAGCAAGACACTACTAATGCTCTAAAACCTCTAAAATTATAAGCCCAACTGTTCTTTTTTCCCCAAAATGTACAGGAACAGTTGATTTTCTGCATTGGATCTGAGGGACTCAGTGTGAGTTCTTGGGACCCATGCATGAACCTCACCTTAGCCCAACAGTTTCCACAAGTAAAGCCCTTTGGATCAAGTTCAGTCAGTCTCCTTTGTGGAGGTAGAGCAGTTCCAGATGATTCATTTGGAACCTGGTTGGAGGGGGTGTTAGATGGTCATTCTTAGTGGTTAATGCTTTGCTACAGAAAACGAGAACATCTGCCACTGTGCTCTTGGTAGTTGAGATCACAGGCCTAGATAGGTTAGCTGTATGTTCAGTCTAAAATCTCTCCTCTGCTTAACTTTGAAGCTGTGTTTATGGGCCCAAACAGAAGTTGGTTTTTAAAATTAAGCACAGTGACAAACACATACTTTAAGGTATATTTGTGGTAGTAATTTATATACTTACTTAATTCCAGACAGCCTATGGTTGGAATCTAGCCTTTGTTTGCTCCATATGAAGCATGCAGTGATATAATGCCCCTATGCTTTCCTCACTGCTCACCAAATACTAAATAAATTCTTTAAAAATTCTTCTAGTTTTCTTGCTTTTTAATGAATGTTAAATTCCTGAACTGCAGCTCTTTGCTTAACTTTAAGGGGGTTATTGGTAATATGATAATCTAACCTTCCTTTATTTATTGCAGATGCGTGCCGTGCTTTTAATCTGCTTCCTGCATTGAGGTCTTTAAACTGTTGTCTACCTTCCAGGTATCTTCATGTTTCTGCTTCCTCTCCCTCAGTTCCTTGTGCAATTGCAAGATCCTACTGTAATAACACTGAAAGCAGTAAAGTATCATTTTATTCAAAGACAGCAGATTCTTCAAAGTGACTTATATTTCCTATTAAGAAGGCAGTTTTTGTGGGGGTGGGGTGGGGGGGGAGTATCTTTTCAGAGTTTTAAATTGGCATTTTGAAGTAATGTAGCCAGAATTTTGCTATGTTCAACTGCAGACTCAAATCACAACCTTATTTCAAGCATCCATTTTAGGATGCATATTAACCTTAAGGAAATGCTTTGAGAAAATAAACCAATATGTAGTTTGTTTAAAACAAAGCAATGGCCTGATTCATTCATGAGCAGAACAAGAAGTTCCCAATGGATTTATAAGACGGAAGAATTATTATGCACTCATTGTATTCTCATTATTCATCCCCTTCTCCTCCCTTCTGCTAAGCAGGAATCAGTGGAGGGGGCTCCATCTATCCACCAACTTACCCAGCCACCCAGAGATCTATCCATCTTTTCCTTTGCCATGTCTTTTTCTAGAACTGATTTGAAATGGCTAGCCAATGGAATGAATACAATGGGCCTGATACAATAGTGAATGTAGCAATTAAGCTGAATGAATAAAATAGATTACACATTTGCCATGACTTAGTATATGATTATTTTGATTAGTTCAATGTAATGTAGAGAATTTTCTAAAAGACTAGATTAAAATAAGTGGAGGAAAAATAACTGGCCTAAATAGTTTATTCTCAAATATAACTTTTGTATTTTAGATTTTAACATAATATGAAATTTAACATTAAGACATTGTTCTGATTAATACCTTGAACTCCTTAATCCTACTAACGTCTGTTTCATTGTTAAAAAGAATATCCAGCACGAGGCAAGAACCAGAGAAAACACAGTAGTTTACTCCTTAGATGAGCTAAGCAGAAGCATATGGATGCATCCACTCAGATTTTCAAAGATATTTTTATTCTTCCTAAGACATTGGACTGTCACATTTGATTGAAAGGTAATTTGGAAAGCGGGAAAAAGAGAATGATGAATTAGACCATAAGCTTGTTTTATGCTGAGTTACATAAAAGGTTCTGATCTATTAAATATTAGCTGAAAAATAATGATTAAAAGTGGTCTATCGACATGAGTACATATATGTATACCCGTGTACTTTCCCCCCTTTATTTTAGCTTATAGGAATCTCCCACTTGTTTGGAAAAGAAAATGTCTTGTGCAAGCAACAAAGTGGACACCTTGCTCCAGAACATGTGGGATGGGAATATCTGATCGGGTCACCAATGAAAATAGCAACTGTGAAATGAGAAAAGAGAGAAGACTGTGTTACATTCAACCTTGTGACAGTAATATATCAAAGAGAGTAAAGGTAACATTTAATTAGATTTAACTTCGTTATAATTCAATATTAAGAGGCTCCTGAAAAGTGCCCGTGTGTTTTAGAGGGATAGATGATATGTGATTCTTATAAAAATAAAATCACCTCATTGTAACTCAGACTATCTCAGAGGAAAACAAAGATTAATCTAACTGCACTTCATGGGGAAAATCTTACCAAGCGGAGAGGTAATGTTACCCTGCTGATTCTAGATACTCTAACAACTTAACAGTGTGGGTCTTGATCAGCCTGATTTCTTCTGGTACACCCAACATACATGTTTTTTAAAAATAGATCCTTTTCAGATTATTTAAAAAAATATTAATTTTATGTAGTGGAATCAAGGCAATGGATAAAAGATTTTGGTTGCTACATAATTATAAAAACAGACATTATGAACATCAGAGAAATTCTGATCTTGGTTATCAAGTTGGAGGGGGAAACCAAGTCCAGAACGTTCTGTGCTTAGATAGTAAACTTGCCAAAGGACTGTGACAAAATATTTACTCTAGACTTGTTTGGTATAACTAGAGCTGGTCCTGCTTCTAGAACAAGGCACGATAACGGTCTGAAGAGTAAGTTTTAGGAATGCTAAAAGTCTTCTCATCTCCAAGTTATTCCCTATCATATTAAGTTGACAACTCAATTTTAAAGGGATTAAGATATGTATTCATTTATTTATCCACTCAAAACTGTCTGAGCTGTGTTAGGGAATTTGCTAAGTCTTAGGTAAATAAACATTTAGTAAGACATGGCCCTTGATATTAAAAAAGAGAAATTTTCATTGTGGAAACCGTGGAACTAAGTGAAGAGTAGATAACAGAAAAGACTGGGGAGCGGGTCCTCTACTATGATGGAACAAGAACAGGGAGGACAGACCTCTGGAGAGGGGATTTCGAAGGTAGAAAAGAGAGCGCTGAAAGTCACTAAATGAGAAATATTAATGCCCCGGAAATAATTTATCTGTTTGTATTTCTATATAGAGTATCACTTTTCTAAACTGTTGTAACCAAATTAAAGAATGACTTCTTAATGTTATGTACCTTTTCAGATCCCCAAAGGAAAAACATGCCAACCTACTTTCCAACTCCTCAAAGCTGAAAAATTTGTCTTTTCTGGATGCTCAAGCACTCAGAGTTATAAACCCACTTTCTGTGGAGTATGCTTGGATAAGAGATGCTGTGTCCCTAATAAGTCTAGAATGATTACCATTCAATTTGATTGCCCAAATGAAGGGTCATTTAAATGGAAGATGCTGTGGATTACATCTTGTGTATGCCAAAGGAACTGCAGAGATCCAGGAGATGTATTTTCTGACCTCAAGATCCTATAAAACCTAGTATATATGGGAAAAGTTAAGTTCAGGTGATCATGTCATTACGTTAGAAAATTAGAGTGGTTTTAAAAGGGTGGCAAATCTACCTTTTTGATTTAAAAAAGGGAAGAATACCTACCTATTCTCAGATGACTCTATTTAAGGCATTAGAAGTTATTAAAAAGGTTCTCTTGGGGCGTCTGGGTGGCTCAGTCGTTAAGCGTCTGCCTTCGGCTCAGGTCATGATCCCAGGGTCCTGGGATCAAGCCCCATATCGGGCTCCCTGCTTGGCGGGGAACCTGCTTCTCCCTCTCCACTCCCCCTGCTTGTGTCCCTGCTCTCGCTAGGTCTCTGTCAAATAAATAAATAAAATCTTAAAAAAAAAAGTTCTCTTAAAAATACATGTAAAACTTGGTGCAGCTCTTTCTGCTCACAGGTCTTGTCCCTGTGCTTTAATAAAACCGTTTTTGCACCCAGGAAGCTATATATATATATATATATATAAATCTTAAAAGTGAGCTCTTACTTTAAATGTATAATTATGAAATACACAGATAGTTGCTTCCATCTACATATTCCATACATAATGGGAAAAATTATACAATTTATAAGAAAGCATTTTATTCTATAAAATAATCTGGAATACTTTGTTGAAGATGTGTAAAAAGTTTAGAACTTTTTAAAAAAACTTTATTTAAAACTTTATCTGTACTTTGACAGTGTAGCCAGGATTCCATCAGATGATAATCATTATGTGGTGAGCAAGATTCTGGGTTTAATTCTTAAATAAGATAAGATTAAACTGCAAATATAATTTCCACTACCCTATCCTGAGTATCAATTTATTAAGATTTCTTTTGAAAGAAGAAAACAGAACTTCTTTGGCCATTACTGACAACTGTAATCTAAAAGTTTTTATACCAAATATTGTAAAAAACGAAATTTCCAAGATAAAGATCAAGAGCAGTATCCTTACTTTGAAAAGGAAAGAAACTTAAAAACTTAGCACTAAAGAAAGCACAGATTATTTTGGCTTGAGAATAAATTGTTCCTAAAAAATCACTTCCTTAAGTGATAAATCCACCTATGGATTTAAAATATAAATTGTATTTAAAGATAAATTAATGTTAACTATAACTGGAGAGTAAAATAACTGGAACATGTTCACTAGACTATTACAGCCATTTTCCTGTGGAGTTTGGAAGATGTCAAGCTAAGTAATGTTCTGTTTGCTTATATAAATGGTGACAAGCAAAACCAATAACAACAAGCAATACTGTTTAAAAATATGGACATTTATTATTATGAAATCAACTGGTTTAATAAAAAATCATTATATTTAAAGATAACTTAATACATATAAATGTTAAAGTGTAAATTTTCATTCTTTTGAGTGCAAACATGTGGTTACCCAAAGAAGAAACAAAACCTCCTTCATAGTTGTAATAAAACCTATCCCAGAAAAGTTAGTGGGTATTACGTAGAAGTATTTATATTGTGTTCTACTACTCCTTGTACTTGCTTTTAAAAAATCAGGAGAATTTAAACAGAATATGAAAAAATAAATTATAAATAAATATAAAAATATACCTTATAAGATTTTTATTGAAGACATGGTTATCATTGTATTAATGCCTAAATATGAGACTGTAAGTAAAAGTATTGAACTATTTTCCTGAAGACAAATGTTTGAAGTTAAGGTAGTAGGACTTCACTAATTTCACAGACTGGTATCACCCACAAATTGTGATGAAATGAAAATCACTTTTTTTTTTTTTTTAAAGACAAAAATGCTTTCTAATAGGAAAAGTGCAAACTGGGTTTTCTGAATCACAAAAATTCTGAAACAAAGAAAAGGTGACAAATTCCAGTGTAAAATTAAGAAAAGTAAAAGTTGTATCTTGGGGTTTCTTTTTTACACAGCTATGCTTAGTCTAGGAAAATCTTCCACAGGCATGCTTTTCGTGGCATCCAGTTGGTTGTATTCCTCTATGAGCCCTGATAAAGATGACACAGCTTCCATGAAACCGCTTTCTTCCATCCCTTCAATTTGTAGATAGTGATGAAGATGAGCCTATAAATAAAAAACTGGATAATGTTGACCATTTTCAGAAAATTTAATACATGAATAACTATCCTAAAACATAAATAATTCTTTATTAAAGTGATACTTCACTCAGCTTTACAAGAGAAAGGAGAACTCCAATCCCAATAAACTCACGAGATTTCTCCTTTAGATAGTCCGAGTAAACCTCTCCTCTTCAGTTATAATCAGTACAGTGAATAGAGCAGTCAGGATTGCCCTTGATTTGTGATAGTGTAATTTGTGAGAAGACATCTTAAATAGCCAAAATAAACACATATAGTTACGAAGGTGTACTGATAATTACCTTTTTCTTGTAGAGCCTCATGAATCTCTCTTTCAGTTCCATGAAGGTAGGCTTCACGCATGTGTTATTTGCTAGAGCTAATAATGAATGGGAATGGCCCACAGGAGGGACTGAACACAGGCTGGTTTTCCAGCCTTCTTGATTCCAGGAGACAAACTGTAGAGAAGGTTTTAATCTGAAATACAAAAACCCAAAGGTGAGAATGAAGGTACTGAAAGTATCTGCCATATATGGCAGCAGACATTACTGATGGTACCATTCTAATTGCTCAGTATGTAACGTGAGTTACCTACTTTTTACTATTAGTAGTATCACGGTACAGTCTGACAGTGAGCTAAGGGACGTTTAGTTAGGAGGGCATTAAATCTGGGGATGAAAAAGAGATGAAAATATTACAATTTAAAAAAAATTACAATTTTCCTTACTTTGTAATTCAATAGAGTAGTTTTCCCAAAAACAGACTGTCAAAAAATAGTAAAACACAAACTTAGAAGCAGTGTAGTGGTAGTAATAAAACAACAGTAGTTAAATTTTCTGAACACTTTCAGAAAATAAAATATTTCCTATATCATTCACTATTCAAAATAACAATTTTGTACCATTATTATTCTTATTTTACATTTGAGGAAAATAAGGCTAAGTAGTTTGCTCAAGGTCACCCTTTAGTTAAGTGGCAATGCTAGAATTCGAAGAGAGGCCATCTGAACTACTATGCTAGTAGTATACATAAATTACCATGAAAATATAAAATCAAACCTTTCAATATTTCTGCGAAGATCTGAAACCTGTACATTTCCTCTAACCATAAGGGCACAGGCGAGGTAGAGACTATGTTTGGGGTCAGCCCGAATTAGCTGGTGATCTTTACTAAAGGCATCTGAAAACATCTGATCCAACCTAGAACAATGAAAGAATCACTGTTTATACAAAATATTATTTCTTCTATGTAGAACTACAAAGTACAAAGATAGTCACCTACAGGTAAATAAACACACACAAACACCTTCTACATTTCAGCTATCATTTTCTCAAAACAATCTTGATGAGAAATATGAGAAGAGAGGAGGACATCTTTTATCCTTTATTTAGAGAGGAAGAAAAAGGTGCCAACATATGTATATCTAATAATACACAGGATCCTGTGTCTTTAATATAGCCCCAGCCTGGTTCTTAAATCCCACTTAACTCAATACAAATATAATTAGGTTCCCTAGATAACTCTAGATTCTGTGTGCTGAATCTATATCATGTCTGGGAAGAGCTGCAGAAATCAGTGTTACCTACTCATTCAACAGATACTTACTAAATGCCTTCTATGTGCAGGCACTATTCTAAGTGCAAGAGACCCAGTACTGAACAACAACAATTTCTACTTTACTGGAGCTTACATTCGATCTTGGTTATGTGACAGCAAGAAGAACAGAAGACTCCTTTAGGGAATGGTGAGCTGTGGGGTGTTTGTAAATCCTCTGCTACTGTGTTCAAAATTTGGTGTATATGTGCTTTTGGGCATTTTTATGGAGTTAAGGAAACCCAGAAAAGGATAAGAACCACTAAACAACAAGTGGGCAAATTCATTCTTGATTTATCCTTTGCTGCAAAATATAAAAACTAGTAAGGAGCTATTTGTAATTTTGGAATACTTTATTCACATTAGAAATACGGAATTTCAAGAAACATACACACACTTCTCATATGTGCTTATTATTTTCATGTGATAAAAATGGGATGAGGTACAGGACTGACATTTATTAATAAAAGGTACAACAAAAACCATTCTCACTACTAATAAGAAATTAAAGAGTTTTAAAACTGACTTTTAATAGTACAATTTTAAAACAATTTATTATTTTACTCAAGGATAGATAAACGTGTTCATGTGCTGATATGACCGCCTCTGAAATATCTATAGTACAGCAGAAAAAAAGGGAAAAAAGAACACAAAGATAGAAAGAACATTGTGACAAGTTCCCTAAGAGTATAAAATCTTTAAAGTCCCTTATACATTTTCACAAACACATTTTTAAAAATAAACCTTTGTAACAAATTATGATTATATGAATACAAAATGCTGCAACAGTATAATTTTTATCAAAATATGCCAAAAGCAGGATTAAAAGAAGTTTGATTGGCTTTGAAACATTCAGGTTGAAGGACCAAGTCAAACATTTTTTTCTTTATGCTGAATTTAATTAGAAATTCCCTGTCTTTATTTTTTAAGAATTAACTTTAAATGTAAAAATGTTTGGACTATCACTATTGTACAATAAATAGTTTAGCACCAATTTACATTCTATGTGTCCACATATTATTTAAATACACTAATTTTTAATATGCGGGGCTGATAATAACAGTGAACATTTAGTGAATGATTACCATGTTCCACATACAATGCAAGTTGCTTTACTTAAGGTCATCACCATTCCATGCAGAAAGAGTCCTATTAGTTGGCATAACTGTTTATTTGTTAACAGCTTAAATAAAAGTTAATAGCACTGTGACATTTACAGTGCAGAACTGTTATTTTGCCAAAATTTAAACTATAAAAAAGATCTTTAATCTGGTTTTTATCATTTACATACTTTCCTCTTACAGAGTTTGACAGGACCTTTTCCCTCAGTCAACTGTGGATGCAAGTGGGACCTTTTCAAGCTTATCATCACTGTATATGCTCAGAATATTTTTCAACTACATTTTTATTAAGTAGACTAAGTTTTATGCTTATAAATGACACACAGTTACAAAACAAGGTGTTCTGGAAATTATATATAGCAGCTACCATCAACAGTAACACTGGAAAGCCTTCTATGGTGCTGGACTGTGATAAGAACTTTAAAGATACTCTTATTTAATATACCCAACAAAGGTATGAGGTAGGTCCACCTGCCCAAGGTCCTATAGCTATTGACAGAATTAGCATTCAGACTTAAGTATGTCAGACTTCAAAGCCCTGAAATCTTTTTCAATAAAAACCAAATCTTTATGAATTTCATTAGCTTAAAAATTTAGATTTAATGTCAAATGGTTTCATATTCACTTTTTAAACAATGACTTGTAAAATAAAGGATTCAAATAATGAAAATGACACAAAGAAATGACACGAAAAAATACCCAGAGTTACTACAAACTTAAAAAAAATTTTTTTTAAAAAGTAATTCAAATTATCAAGTCATTAGAATAGTTACTACATCTTACCTTCGGGTAGGAATGTTAACATCTGCCAGTGTATATAGAGGTGTTAGGCTTGACACAAGATAATGCAGTTGAGGAAAAGGAACTAAATTCATGCTGATTTCATTAAGGTCCATATTAAGGGACCCTTCAAACCTTGCAGAGCTAAAAAATTAACAAAGCAAGAGAAAAAAATTTAATGTTAAAATTTTATACTTTGAATGTAGCTTTATTTATTCAGCAGGCATTCTTAAATCCTTTTGTACACTGTTCTTCAGTAGAGAATATATGCTCCTTTTTTCTGTATTAGTGAAATTTAGTATCATGAATATCATGTATAAAGATAATTAAAATGTAACACACAACATCTATAGCAATTCTTATTTGTGGATTATATGATGTGTAACCAACACACTATTATGTTGCACATTACACATATAAAAATATCTTAATGCAGACTGAGTTAAACACATACAGGTCAATAATTAATAAGTCTATAAACGTCACTAAATTCTTCAAGGGTCTGCCTAATGTGCTCTATAATTTGGAATATAATAATGCCAAAGCAATCTTCTAGATCAAAGTCAAGGGTATATTTTGGACCAACTAACAATAGGGAGGTAAACATTAGCTGCTTTAAAAAATGAGGACAAACTACAGCAAAGAAAATATGCTTACTATTATCTAACCAAGTTCTCAAGTGTTTATCTGTGACAAACTTTTTTCATTTAACACCTATTAATATTCTCTGGAATGCACCTGGGAAAATGCTGCTTTGGAGTAATAGAAATTAAAGTTCTGGTCTATCACTCCAAGATCTGAAAACACTAGACAGAATAAAATAAAATAAAAAGAAGCTCCTGTGACTTAGAAAAACTGAAAAATGCTACTACAAAAATGCAACTGCAAGTATCATCAGAGGCCAAGTGAAGTTTTCAAACTGTCCTAAGTTTTGCAATCAATAGGATTACCTTGTTAGGTTCAGCAGCAAATTGGCCACAATGTTGTTCATTGCATCAAAGGGCCTCTGGTGCCACTTTTTGACAGCCTCAGCACTTGAAGTAACCAGACTCTTTGGCTTTATAGTTGTGCCCAACTTTCCAGAATTCACCATGAGGTCAATTTTGCTAATGATGTCAAATAAAGACTTTTAAAGGAAAAATATTGGGAGAGAAGCTATTAACAAGAGCAGACACAGATGACATTTTACCAGGAAGGAAAGAAGAGAAAGAAAAACAATTTGAACTTATTTCTCCTCTTAGATGGGAAGGCTGAAAAGTGAAGAGAATGTTTCCTATGCACATATAAGCATAACACAAGACTGAATGTTTAAATATTCATAAATTACAATGTCATTTCTTACTTGGTTGTCAATGGGCAACACACAGTCTGCATGCTCATTAAGTTCCTTCATTGCCAAGATGCTATTGTAAGGTGAGGTTATGACATCATCCTCACCAGAAGGATAAACTGATGTCACGAATCTGTATACTTCTGGGAATTCATCCTCAAGCAACTTTAAAAGAAATGTGCCAAGTCCAGATCCTGTTCCTGAGGATTAAAATTGCAAAAACAAAAACAAAAAAACCCTGCATAAATGATTCAAAATAAAATTGTGAGGAACTTGGAATTTTATGGCTTTTTTGGGTAGGAACATACATTAAAAACCAGAGCATTATATAGAAGACAGTTCTGATTCCATTAAAAATTAAACATATAAACACATACATATATAAAACCTATAAACAAAATGAAAAAGGCAAACTAAGGAAAAAATCTCCAACATATATGATGGACTAAATTTCTTTAATAAAGAGGTCTCACAAATCAACAACCAAAAAAACGAGTAATACAACAGAAAAATGGGTAAAGTATGTAAATATGTAATTCATAATAAATCAAATGGTGAATAGATGTGAGGATGCTCAACTCTTCTTCTAATCAAAGAAATCCAAATTAAAACAATCTAATTTTGAATGTATTAATGTTTTATAATACTCAGTGACAGTGTGGGGAAATAAACCTGTATACATTGTTTCTAATAATATGGATTGGTGAAATAATGTAGGAGAGTATTTAATAATATCAATCAAAATTTAAAATGTACATATTCTTTGGTCCCATTTTCCTTCTGGGAATACTACGTATATCTATAGAGGCATAAATGAGCAGAAATGTTATGTACCAGATGTTCAAGTGGGGATTGTTTGCTATAACTAAATATCATAAACAACTTAACATCCACTAATGGAAAATGGACTTCAAAAATTTTTATATATTAACACAACTGAATTCTAGGAGACAGAAGATACTGAAAGACATTTGGGAAAGACATAAAGTGAAAAAATGTTGGAATAATATGTACTGCATGATCTTATGTTAAAATAAACAAACACACTTTTAAAGGCACAGAAAATATCTGGAAGGATATAGACACAGGCAAACTTGGATTACCTGTGAGGAGAGAGACTAGGATTTAGATGTGGGAAAGGAGACCATTTTTAACCTTCACTATTATTTATTTTTGCCAGTAAATTATGAATAAAGTATAATCTTCTGAGATTTTGAGTAATAGAGGGATTAAAAAAGGCACCATAATGAACTATAAATCAAATTGGTTTTTTGAAAACTTATCCAAACTTGCAGGTTAATTATACTAGTACAAAGAAAATTTATTTCTTAATTTAATGATTATGATGGTCCTCTAAAGGCATGGTTACGTAACAATTATAACTTTAATTTTAAAATGTTATCATATTGAATAATATGTATAAAAATCAATTTATATAACTTGGTGAATATAAAATCTTAATCTGAGCTTGGAGAAAAATAGCATCGCAAATTTTTCTTTTAAAACTCACTAATCCTATTGGAAATCAGCAAAATACGGTATGTTTCTAGTTCATAACACAGAGGAGCAAAATACTTCATTTGCAAGGTACAGGCTTCCCTGGGGAATGAAAGCAATACAGATCATTTATTCTAGGTCAAGGTAATTACTATGAAAGTAATGATTTAAAGGAGCTGACTAAAAGGATTTCTTTTATCTCTATCTCTTATTGGACACAAGAAAGGTTGGAAGGCAGTTAAAGAGTACTGATATTTCTTAGCAAGGATACCTATGAATAAACCAGAAATGCTTAGCTTCTAGGTGGGATACGAGACTACACAAGCAAACTCTTAGGAGAAAGTCAGTATTCCCAGAAAGCTCTCATGTACTGAAATGTAGCTGGAAATTTTAAAAAAGAAACTAAAAGTAGAAGAAGAAAAAACTTCAGATTCAGTTGTACTGACTCTTAAAAGGGCTTCAATTTATAAGCAATGGTAATGGCAACAAAATTTGACAAAAATTTAAAGTAAGAAGCAGTTATGTATATACTCAAACACATACACTGTTAAAAGTTGTACCTTTATTAGGCATAGGTCTGAAAACAGACTACTGTTTGCAAAATGAATTCCCACGTACACTGTCACATTATTACAGGGAAATGAGTGAATAACTTTACCTCCTCCCATGGAATGTATTATAAAAAAACACTGCAAACAATCACAGTGCTCTGCCGACTTTCTGAGTTTCTCTAAAATCTGTTCTTGATAAAGACTGCCAAAAACTTTGTACCCCACAGCCCTGAAAAAAAGAATATAAATCACAAAACACCCTGGCATTTATTATTTCAAGATTTTATTATTTCTGATCTAAATGAAAAGACTACAGAAAAACTTGAAAAAGCATTTTTACTATATTAATTCTTCTTGTTTCATATGTATAAATCATATTGTGATATTTCAGAGATACTAGATAGAAAATGTAACAAATATAAAGATGTATAATCCTCAAATATCCTGATAAAATAGCTCATTATCAATGGATATTAAGCTATGGTTTTCTAAATTCATCTTCTCTTTTTTTTAAGTATAAGACTTTAGTTACATAGTTTTTTCTCATCTCCATTTAAAATGAACTCTGATCACAGTAAATTTTACATATTAAAAGGCAGAATGTGGTTAACTACAAAGACATTAAAAATAAAAAATTCTGAACTAACATATTGGTTTAATATAGGAGAAAACATTGATCACATCATGTTATCATTAGTTGAAATGATACACAATAGAAAACTGATACTTATAAGGCTCTGTAAGCCTTTTTGATTAATCAGATTTTCAAGGAGCACTTTGATGCATTAAAAATGATGAAAAAAATGAATGAATGACTTCCACGGTTGTGTAACTCAAAAAATTACAGAAAAAGTTACACAATTAGTGAAAAGCCAGTTAAGTGGGCAGGTGAATTCATTTAGTGGCTGGTTCCCCCCAGATGAATGTCTAAGAATGCAAAATGTAAATTCATACTTTAAAGGTTTATTTATTAGAGTCATCTCTACCCGCAACATGGGGCTTGAACTCATGACCCTGAGATCAAGAGTTGCACGCTCTTCCAAATGAGCCAGCCAGAGACCCAGTAAGTTCATGCTTTAGTAAAATGATATTACTACACATTAGGAACCTGAGAGACAGATTGCAAATAGATAAAATAGTAAATATTAGACTTGCAAATAATAAGAAGCTACTTAATTTTTAAAAAACAGCAAAAACAGTCTCAATGTAAATTTTCAAATGATCACTGTTAAAGCTTTTTACCCCATTAAGGAGAACAGTTATATAATTTAAGAGCTAAACACAGCCTTAGGCTGAGCTTAAATGCTGGGATACTGGTCTGGCTTGCACCTCTTACCAGTCCAATCAAGTCTGACCAGCTGGAGAACTTGGTAGAGTCAAATAATATAGGTAAGAGACAGTTTATAAAAATAGTTAAAACTTTTGTTACTAGTATTATTTAAGAATCAATTTACAAGGAATTTAGTAAATCCATTTTTCATGATTTTTTCTTAAAAAAAGGTGAGAAAGAACTATGATACAGGTGGCTTTTCAGCATTGAGAAATCCCATCATTTATGCAGGAAAAGATGATGGGCTGAAAAGCCTAGAGCCAGGTCTGGCAGGTTAGATCTTGCTTTCATGTCAGCAGGACCTATTAGAATGAAGGAAAGATCATTCATTTTTTTCAGATGACATTCAATTTTTACATACAGCATATTCTCACCAATTATTGCCTGAGCCAGAAATATCAGTGATGAGCTGCTTGCTATCAAACACATCTCTCAATGGTCCCTGCAGAATTTCATTTACTACCCCTTCCTCCATGTCAATCAAGATAGCCTGAGAAAGAAATAAAATTGAATTAGCATATTTTTCTTTAAAGCTAGTAACTCTGTAAATAAATTTATGAACTAAAAGTAGCATTGTCCTTTTTATAGTTTAAGCTTAATCAAATCTTTATGTAGAATCTGTTATAAGAATGAAAAAGTCATTTCACTCTGCTCAGGAGGTGGAATACAATTAAAAGGTGGGTTCTAAACTCTTATCCTACTCCGAAATACCATGTGGGCGCGGAGGGAGGAACTGAATAATCCCCTCAACTGATTTTCTAACAATTCTTTTATCATGTGCCTATGTGATTGTAAATGTTCTGAGAATAAGGACTCAGAAATTTAAAAGGTGCCCTAGCCAGAAAAAAATTCTCAATAAATGTAGGGTATGTTAATACACTTGCTTACCAGGAACAACCATGCTGCTCTTCATGAATTGCAGCCCAAAACTGTCCAGTTCAAATCAGTAAACTTACTATCAGGTGCAAACCAAGGCCCTGGATAGAAGTCAAAGATGACAATGGGTCTCTACACCCAAGAAAATCTAATTCATTACCGCAAACATTATTGACATGGGAGATAACCTTTATTACCAAGAAGAAAATGAGAATATAAAACATAAAATTAAGTATGGAAAGAAAAATAGAAAAGATTGAAGGGAAACACAGCAAAATGTAGGCAAGGATAGCTTGGCAGTAGGATTATAAAACCCCTACCCTCACTGTTTTGTACTTCCCATGTTTTCTACACTGAGGAAGGTAAGTGAAAAGGTAAAATAAATAGTTAAAAAAGCTGAAAAAAATTCTGAAATAACAGAGTACCCTACAAAGCTATTAACTCTTTGATTCAGGGTCACAGAGAAAGTGCTTGGTTTGCAGGCTTTTTTAGTTCTTGTGACCCTGTGACTTGAAGCACTTACAGTATTCTAAGTGCTTTGTATGTATTACCCCATTTGATCCTCACAACCTGGTGCATAGGTACTATAATTACCCCCGCTTTACACTTGAGAAAACTGAGGCCTAGGAAAGCTAAATCACTTAGCTGTGATCACCCAGCTAGTACACGATGGAGCGGAGATTCAAACCTGGTTAGTCTGGCTGCAGAATCTTCAGTCTTAACCACCAAACTCTATGCTCTTGTTGTTTTTTGTTTGTTTGTTTGTGTAGTTAACTATGCTACTATAAGCAAGCAATTGAAGTAGTCTTACCCAGTATATTAGAAATATTCTATTTCTAACTGTACAATAGTATATCACAGTAGTATATTAGAAAGACTATAAAATTATGTATTACAAATGTGCTCTCTTATATACAGCAAGCAGTATACATACACTTTATGTATACTGGACTATATAGGGTTATTTACTGGCAATTTAGGGTTTTTCTAGGATATTTTATGATAATATGCAAGTGTTACCTAGATGTTGACTTTAACATCTAATCAACCATAAGAGAGACTTCACTGTGTGGGCAAATTGTAGTATATTACAAGTTGTGTAAGATTACAAAAAGAAAAAAAAATTAGCTTATAATGGCTTTGTTCCAAAACAGACTTATTTAAGAGAATTTGTGGAAGATTACCCTCAGCTACCTTGCAGTCTGGCAAAGGAAGGAACAGGCAGAATACAAACTGACATTCAAGCACCTCTTGGAGTCAGTTTTGAGAGAATCATCCCTCTCATCGTCACTGAGCATTAAAAACGCTGACATGGTATAGAATTTCAATTCTAGTCACATCAAGCCTTTGATTTGTTTTTCATCTGGAAATTAACTGAGGAGGAATTATTCTGGGTTCCTCATGCAGCCAACCAAGGTCTGGAGTGACAACTATTCTAGGATTTGATGTTTATTGTTTTCTGCCAGAGCAACCTGGTGATAGCTTTCTGGTCTTTGAGCTCTCCCTTAATTGTAATATAGGATTTACAAAATTCTGAGTATTTGCCCATTAACCTAGAATACTGGACACAGTGGAAGGGCCTAACCACCAAGTTATCTTGTGAAGCCTAGACTCTTCAGTGATCACAACCACATAATACCAAGACTCTTAAGGAGAAATGGAAGAGTACCTTCCTAGGACAAGTCAAAGGTGACAGACACACACTGATTTATTCTTTCCCAAAGGTATTTCCTCCATCTCCTACCTTGCTCACTGATAGGGTCCTGGGAAAGAGCTCAAATTGGGAGTGCTCTGGGAAATGTCAATGTTACTTCTTCTGTAAGATTTGGATTGGGATGTTAGCACTCTCCATAGCATGCAGGATACCAACTGTTAATCATCCGAACAGCCTACAAGCACATGGTCTCTGCCACTAAATTTTGTTTTCCAAGGACATCAGAGATTACAGATACAAGGAGACAGTTCCGAGATACCACAAAATGATTGCTTTTCACTCTTCCAGGCACAATTCCAGGTCTGATCCTTATTGTCTCAATTCCTTCCATACAAACTGCTTTTCTGTTAAATTAATTGATCAACAACTGGAAAAAGCAGTTTGTTGTAGAGAAACAATCGTGGAAGTGTTGTTGGAATGAGATTATGACTAAATATGGGCTACTGACTCAAAGCATTTTTGTTCAAGAGGTCTTACATGGTTATAGTATTCACTATAACGTGGCTGGATCCGTGCTTTGTACTGGGAATAGTAACTGATGCAAAGAAATGTTCCATTATCTTCAAATGAAAAATTAACCTGCATTAGTACGTGTTTGAAGCTTAGAATTAAGAAAGCTCCTTTTGTTATCATTTACCCAGATGTGTATTTCCCCTGAAACATTTATAAAAAAATGCTAAAGATACAGTGTTTTTACTTTAAGCACAAAATTTTCCCCCTAAAGTTCCAGGAAGATATAAAATGTCTGCCTAATTATATTTATATTAAAATGTGGCTTAGTAAATACTTTTTTTAAATTTTAGAAGTTAAAAGTTTATTCTGTTACAGAAGTATAGTTATTTTTAAAACACACACAATATAAGAATCCAAGTATACAGATCTTACTCGTGCTTTCAAAGAACAAATTTTCCCCTTGGAAATACTGCCACCATCACCAACCACTCTGAAAGATAAAGAATGAGAAAAGGTCAAAAGATCTTCCAAGGCTAATGCTGCTGTTAGGTAATAAAGTTAATTCCCATTTATATAATAAAGCTACTTACAGGCCTGGTGAGGTAGACACAAAAGGCAACGTAGAAGGTGCCATTCCCATTCTTCTCCCTTGTCTACCCTCCCCTTAGGCTGAAAAGTGAGGTACTTTTTTCCCTGGCTTTCTTTATAGTTATGGCTGGCCATGTAATCCAGTTCTTACTAATGAGATGAAAAGCTTCTGGGAAGCTTTTCTGATAAGGACGACCAGATGCAGTTGGTGCCAACTCTTCCCTTTTCCTACCTTGAACATGAATAAAGATATGATACATGGAGTGGAGGCTGCCACTTTATAGTTACAAAAAAATAAACATGAGGACAAGAAGCCAACACAATAGGAATAATGAAACGAAAGTACCTTGGTCTTTTAAGGCATTTCTCCAAGCCTAAATCACCTGATTTCCAGATTTCTTTATATGGGATAACTGGATACTTTGTGTAAGCCACCATTAATGAGGTTTCCTATTGTAGCCAAACATACATCAACTGATATATCAGTTATATATCATTGAGTATATACGGTTGTTCCTAGAATTTCATGTTGAACTAAAGTAACTACATCTATGACCAAACACAGGGTATGAGTCAATACAATTTATAAGAAGACAATATATAAAAGGAAGTTGAATTGAGCACAGATGATGCTATAGATTGGGTCGGTAAACTATGGTCCTTGGGCCAACTATGACCAGCTGCTTATTTTCCTAAATAAAGTTTTATTCAAACATAGCCATGCCCACTTGATATGCACTAGTAAGCTATACCTGCATTCCTGTTAGAACAGCAGAGTCAAACAGATGTGACACAGACCTTATGGTCTGCAAAACCTAAAATATTTACCATCTGGTCCTTTGCAGGAAAGGTTTGTTAACCGCTAGTATAGGTAAATTCCTAGTATGCTATTAAAAAGGTATGGTCATTTCCTCAAATAGATATACAAGTATACACAAAAATGTGGTCTTGTTTTTCAAAGTTTTTTTGTACTAACATGGAACAGATGCTGGCAGGTGTTGCTAGTACATAGAAGAGTAAAATGCCAAGACTCATCTCCCCTTTTTGGATAAACTTGGGATTGGGGAAATAAGAATGCCCTCACGTTAAATTATTAAACAGAGTACAGGAGAGTACAGTTATGTAGTCGCCTTATTAAGAAAGACTAGCTCCCCAGCTGAGTCTCGACTAAGTAATACTTAATGAAAGGACTGGCCATCAAGAGTAGAGGGGATGAGAGTGGGAATTTACTTAGAAGGGAAGCACATAAAAGGAAGTATTACAAAAGCAAATTTGAGTCTCTTAACAGTATTTAGGGCAGAGGATGTTCTAGTTCACAAACAAGAGGGAATCCTAGATAACAGATATCTCCATATAATAAAAATAAATGACACCAATCATTAAGGTAAAACACCTAACTCCCCTTGGTCTGATTCCATGATCACCAAGCAACCTTCTATTATTTAGCTTTTCAGGTAGATTTCCTACAGAAGAGAAAGTGCTTTTGAAGGGAAAGGAAGATCTGGTGCTCTTGAGTTATGGTTCCTACTATCAATTACTACATTGATTTTCTGCTTTTTAATCTCCCATTCTCTTTGAGTTTGGTTTATCTGCCTGTACTGGAAAGCAATGTACTCATTCTCAAGATGTTAACAAGTTTTCTGAGTTTGCAAGTCTGAGGGTCAGACTCTGGGATTCACCAAGGAAGTGGAGACTAATTAGCCTTCCCTAGGAGATAACTCACCTCAAATACCCAACCAACTAATTCAAACTAGAACTAGAATTTTTACTGAATTAGATAAAGGTGGATATTCATGATATATTATTTAGTTCAAGTCCACCACAGTTTAGTTTTATTAATTATTTTCAAAATACACAAACTTTATGATTAAACATTAAAAGCTCATGGACATACCTTGAATGTCAAAATTATGTTCAGATAAAAGATACATATGCTCTTTATTATATAAACAAAAGTAATTTGACAACTGTTGTTCTCCTTTTTAGCACATTCTATTCACAGAACAAATATTCCTGACTACAAATAGTGTCACAGAAGTGTAAAAAATATATTTTTCTTTCAAAAGTTAGTCATTCTTGAATGCATTAACAATATACCCTGAGGGAAACTTTCAGTAGTCCTTCAGTAAAACTTCATTTCAAGGTCATGTTAAAAGAAGGCACATGAGGGGCGCCTGGGTAGCTCAGTCGGTTAGGCGGCTGCCTTCGGCTCAGGTCATGATCCCAGGGTCCTGGGATCGAGCCCCGCATCGGGCTCCCTGCTCAATGGGAAGCCTGCTTCTCCCTCTCCCACTCCCCCTGCTTGTGTTCCCTCTCTCCTGTCTCTCTGTCAGATAAATAAATAAAAATCTTTTCAAAAAAAAAAAAAAAAAGAAGGCACATTGGGGGCGCCCGGGTGGCTCAGTTGGTTCAGTGTCTGTCTTCCGCTCAAGTCATGATCCTGGGGTCCTGCAATGAAACCCCATGTTGGGCTCCCTGCTCATCGGGGAGTCTGTTCTACACTCCCTTTGCTCCCACTCGTGCTAGCGCCCGCTCTCTCTCAAATAAATAAAATCTTTAAAAATAAATAAAAATAAGAGAAGGCACACTAAAGGTTCTTTTTGTTCCTTCATATGGCCTTAAAAGGAAACCTGCTGTCCTGCTCTGCAGAATAATATGAGAAATATTAATGATATGGGAATAATGAGAAAAAAATATGCTTTCAATAATTAGAAAAACAAAAAAGCCAGACTTTTTTATAGTTATCAACTGTTTTATTGTCCTTTGAAGAGGTCTCACCCAATCTGATGACATGAAAAGAATCATTATGCTACGTGATAGACTTCAATCCCATCTTACCTGGTATCCACATTTCTAAAGAAGCTGCTTATTGCCTCGTCATAAATTCCTTTCTAAAAAGAAAAAAGTATATATAACATTTGATTAAGTTTTGTCTCTTTCCCAAATGAAATCCTTTTAATTTAATAATCTCACAATACCGTAATGGCTGATCTTTGACTATGAGAACAGCAGCAAAAATGCAAGTTATCATAAAGCGCTTAGACTGATTCTTACTACCTAAAGAATAAATGCCATAAAATCTATGGATTAAGTTTAGCAGAGGGTGCTGAAGAAAGGAGTCCCCCATAGGATTGTAGAAGGTGCGTCAAACGAGAGCTTTTTCTGGATTCCTGGTGATCATTTTAAAGTTGATTAAATTCAGTAATATAATACCACACATGTTACCTATTTTACAAAGTACTTCCCCAATACTATCTCATTGCTCTTCACAAGAATCCTGATAAAAATGAGACCCTGAGAATCAGGGAGACTTAAGACTAAAGTCTTTGGCCAGCATTTGTTCTAACGCCAACAAACATTTAAAAACCAGTTTGTTCTTTCCTGAGAAGATCCCATACACCTTATGCCGGTCAGATAAAAGGTCAAATGCACTGATTCTTGCTTAGGCGACTGGGCCGGTACCTGGTTGACCGCGGCATGCTCCCTCAGCGCCAGATCCCAGAAGCAGCAGCCGATCTGGTTTCCGCACTGGCCGACTGCGATCAGCGAGAGGAGGGAAAGAGAGTAGCCATTAGGTGGCAAACAAGGCCACTCGGCTGCGCGGCGACGGAGTGCCCACCCTCCCGTGCAGCTTACCCTGTACGACCACCGACTGGGCCATGCTGCGGCGCGGCAAACCGAGGTACTAGGCAGCCCGCGCCCACTTTCGTACTCCCTTGCAAGCCCCGCCCACCAGCGGCGCGCCTGGAGGAGCCGGGAAGCCGTAAAGTCACGCTGCCGCCGCAAGTCACTGCCGTCGCAACGCTCTTCCCTAGAATCAAGCTAAGTTTTTCCGTCAGAAGGGTGAGCTAAGGTACTTGCGTCCCACCGTTACCATAGCGACTGGGCCTCCGGACCGTAGGTACTGCTGCTTGCCAACATCTTTGAGCTTCGGCAGCTCCGGAGGCTGGGGTAACTGTCGGGTAACTAGGCTTTGGAGTAGGATTTTAAAATGTGTGTCTTTAAAAGTGTTTATGGGCTATCAGAGGTTTAGTTTTTGTTCACAGTCTCAACCCCCTGGGAGTTGGGTCAAATTCCGTTTAACCAGATTCCTCGGGACGCTCTGCTTTCGTGCGGCTATCCAACAAGCCCTTTCTTCTAACAGAAAACAGTGTCGATGAGCACAAAGAAACCCCAAATAGGCGTGTCAGGCTACAACCGAAACTAGGTAGTTTATACACTTTGACAAAAAAGCGCTTCAGAGACCCAGTCAGTGTTCGTTGAACTGGATACTCCCGACATTAACTTCCAGGCCTTCTGGAGTATTCAAAAGCAATCAAGACATATATCCAGCTCCAGGAAGCCTACAATCTAAGATACACACGAAGTACTGAAACAATTTTTGTCTTACAATATTGTGTGGTGCTGACTGTAAGTTCAGTAGGATTCAGTGGATGAGGATGTAGATCAGTAAATAGAAGTCTAGTGGAAGAGATGAAATTAAAACTAGGCATTTGATTTATGTAAATTAGATGGAAGGAAGAAGACTGAAAAATCAGACATTCCTGAAAATTACCGAGTACCAAAAATTGTCAAACATTGAAAAACACTCTGAACTCTTACTGATCAATTTAGACCAGATTTCAATTAAGAACTTCATCACTTCTTTACTGAAATAATAATTTCCACAAAATTCTGAGGAACTACAAAATCCTAGGGAGGTGGTGGGGTATGGTGGAGAAAAAACAATTAGGGTTTGTTAGACTCATCTATAGCACATTCAGTACTGGAAGACATTGAAAGTATATTGCAAAGTTCTGAGGGGGGATAAAATATG